CTTTTCACCAGTAGCCAAGATCAAGTCTATTAGGATATTTCTTTCCATAACAACCTTTCATGATTATGAAGTATGGAAAATGGATGTGAAAACTGGTTTCCTTAATGGAAAACTATCAGATGAAGTGTATATGGCACAACTTGAGGGTTTCATAGATCCAAAATATCCAAATAGAGTGTGTAAGCTTTAAAGGTCTATATATGGACTAAAACAAGCATCTCGTAGCTGGAACCTTTTCTTTCATGAAAAGGTCAATGAGTTTGGATTTTCAAGAAGTTAAGGTGAGTCTTGCGTATATATCAAAGCTAGTGGGAGTATTGTAGTCTTCCTAGTGTTATATGTGGACGACATACTCCTTATAGGAAATGATATCCTGACGTTTCAAGGTGTGAAGACATGGTTTGGGAGTTGTTTCACTATGAAGGATCTTGGAGAGGTTGTGTACATACTTGCTATAAGGATCTATAGAGATAGATCGAAATGTCTAATCGGACTGAGCCATTGTACATACTATGATAAGATCTTGAAGAAGTTCAAGATGCAAGACTCCAAGAAAGGTTTTCTACCTATGCAACATGGCACCAAATTAAGTAAAGCTTAATTCCAGAGTTCTAATGATTAACAAGATAGAATGAGTCAAGTCCCATATGCTTCTGCTATAGGATTGATCATGTATGCCATGACATGTACTCGTCCTGATGTGTCGTTTGCTCCGAGCATGGTGAGTCATTTTTAGGATAACTTAGGTGATAGTCATTGGACAGTAGTAAAGAACATTCTGAAATACCTAAGAAGAACAAAGGACATGTTCTTGGTATATGGAGGTAAAGATAAGTTAAGAGTTACAGGTTGTACAGATGCAAGTTTCCAGACTGATAGAGATAACTCATGTTCGCAGTCAAGATGGTATTCTTGCTTAATGGAGGAGCAGTCACTTGGAAGAGTTCCAAGCATTCGATAGTGGCAGACTCTTCATGCGCTTAAGAGTATATAGCGGCTAGTGAGGCTCCAAAAGAAGCTACATGGTTAAAGGACTTCATTGATGATTTGGTGTCGTTTCGAGTATCAAGGATCCTTTAGAAATCCTGTATGACAATGAGGGTGCAGTCACACAGACTAAAAAACCCAAGGACGATGGTAACTCAAGACATATACATAGAAAATTCCACTATGTAGGACATCGAGTCGAGGATGGAGACATTGTAATGAACAAAGTATCATTAGTGGAGAATCCAGTCGATCCGTTCACGAAGCCATTATCAAGGATCAAGCATGATAGTCATACTAGATCTATAGGCATTAGATTTGCTGATTATATGGTGTAATTGTTTAGTTATTTATTTTGATAATCTATGAAACATTTAGCAGTATGAACTGTAACTGAGTTGATGTTTATTTTGTAGAGATTTAATAAAGTGCAAGTGATGTTATCATTTCTGTTAATTTATTTTTGTGTTTCACTTTTGCATGTTTAGAACCCACTTCCTTAGTATTAATTTGCTCAAACCTCCACAGTCGTTCAAACTCTTGGAAGTAAGTAGTGATTCAAGATTGTCATGATTATTGGTGGATTGACCATAGTGATTAGGCATATCATAGTAATTGCGCCAACACTCATGAGTACTTAATAGAGATTTAGATATTGGAACAACCCGCAATTAGAGATTACTTCATGTATATAGTCACAAGTAATTTTAAGATGATAATATCTTTTGTTCTTTAAACCGAGATACATGTGGGGTTTTGCTCTATTATTCTGTTATATATTGGTGTACTCTAACACTATTTGTCTTTGGTAGCAATAACGGGTATATCCATATATGACATAATGAAATAGACAAAAACTATGTAGTCAAAGTTTATCCGTCCCTTCTGCCTTAACAGGAAAAGCGATATTTATAGGCTCCTTGTTTTGGTGTTGACATCATGAATACCTGGCCGAGTCTTGACTGAAATTGATGTGTTCAATTTAGTAGTCAGATGCAGTCATCACAAGTCTATATTGGGAAACATAATCTTGAATTATGAGATTGACAATTATCCATGTCTCGAATTCATATAGATATCATGGGAACGAAGGAATAGTTGATCACTTGTCTGAGGGCTTCATTAGATCAGAGTTTGACAGATGCATTGGATGGCATTCTCTCTGTTGAATATTAGAGAAGTATTGAACCATATATAGTTGATGACTTTTCCAAGTGGGAGACTGTTTGAAAGTGTGTCCAAGGTCATTAACTATTGGTAATATTTATAATAATAACAGGGTCCACTTAGGTTGCCTTCAAGACTCAAATTAAGTAGAATTAATAAAAAAAAAGAAATTAGTTTATTAATTATTATGGTTTAATAATTAATTAGAAACTAATAAGAAAATAATTTGGGAATTAATTAACAGTTTAATTAATAGAATGGTTGAATATCAATTAATCAGTAGTTGATTAATCAAGAATATTCCAGAACCCTAGGAAGAAGGGTGGTGGACGAAAATTCCCTTAGGATAAAGGGAATTTATTCTTAGGGATTCATTCTTCCTTGCTTATTCTTTGGCTTAAAGTTTCGCCACTTCTTTCTCCCTCCTTGTGGACGAACTCTCCTAAAGTTCATCCCCTCCTACTTATTTTTTATTCTACTCTTTTGAGTTCATTGGGTCTGAACCATGAGAGGGATTCTAGTTTGGGTCCTGATCATCCAAACCAGGTGGCACACACGAGAGCTTAAGCACGAAGGTCTTTGGCTGCAAAAGAGGTATGTGATTCTTCCTTTTGTGTTTTTTTGTTATCTATCGTAGATGTAATTAGTATGAAACCATAGATCCATAAGTTGCATGTACATCTAGGTATATCGTAGTTTCAGTTTTTCCGCTACCTAGTTTAGAGTGTATTTGATGTGTTGAAATCCTAACAAATACATAAGTTAATTTTTACAAAAGTTCAACAAATTCTAAGTCTAGAAGCACATCTATAGGGAGTCACCTGAGACACTCAAATAAACAATCACCAAATCAGGATGAAGACAGAGAAGAAATGGCTAAAGTACCTTATGCCTCAACAATTGGGAGCTAATGTATGCTATAATATGCATTAGACCATATATTGTTCATGTAGTCAAAGTTGTTGGTTAATTTATGTCAAACTTGGGGGAAGGATTGTTAAAAAGGAGTCAAGTCGCTATTATGCTACATGAAAGGAACTTTTGAGGTTTCCTTATGTTTTAGAAGAGAAAGGTAATCTTAGATGGTTTTGTTGATGTAGATTCGGGAAGTTGAGCAGATTTGGGAAAAACACAATATGTTATATGCTCACTATTAGGGATATGACCATTAGTTGGATGTCTAGATTAACAATGGTTGTTTCTCTATCAATCATAGAAGTTGGTTAGAGGTCAGTTACAAAAGCTTCCAAAGAGCTTATATTGTTGAAGAACTTCCTATCAGAGTTTACTATGTAACAAAAAGACTATGTAATGTATTATGATAACTAGAGAGTCGTTTATCTTGTAAAGAATTTAATGTTTCATACAAGAAAAATACTCATTCAAATGAGGTGCTATTTTATTAAGGAATTAATAAGTGATGGGAATTAGAACTTGAAGAAGATCCTTGGTATGAATAAATCAAATAGATCTTTTTACCAAGGCAATGATGATAGAAGCTATATATGGCTTCAACTGGTGTTCCAAATACTAAAAGAGAAGGAACATATTAAAAAGAGAGAGAGAGAGAGAGAGAGAGAGAGAGAGAGAGAGAGAGAGAGAGAGAGAGAGAGAGAGAGAGAGAGAGAGAGAGAGAGAGAGAGAGAGAGAGAGAGCTTGGAAGGCAACAAATCACTCAATCATCCTCATAGTGGAAGAGTGGTGAGTGGTGGAGTCTGATCTTCCGTTTGATCGGATTAGCGCTAGAGAGACTAAGCATGTGGTGCAGCTATGGTACTCGATGTAAAAGATGTGATGCCCAACGAAAAAGTTGTAATGCTCCATGAAAAAGCTATGGCACATGAGGGTAAAGGTTTGTGATGTTTAGGCTTTTGGGTCATTCTATTTGATAACGTGTTGGGCTTGTGGGCCCGTCTGAAAGGCAACTTTAGTTTACACGATTGTTATAAATAGATCTCGTATGTCTGATTGTAACCTTACACAAAATTCTTGTGCAAAGAATATCATCAATAAAATCTCTGTAGTTGGTGCTTAGATGTAGTTTTAATAAATCAGTTCTACTGAACTACGTTACCTTTTTGTGTTCTTTATTTTATTCATATATTTACTTATTGTATTTGGTATTTGTGTGTGTTTATCAATCCTCGTGTCCGAGAACAAAAATATAAACTTTTGTGTTGATATCAGCACCAAGTACATGCCACATGTAACGTGACATGCCACATGTATATATATGACAACCGGGTGATCCCTTTGCATAGCAAAAATGATATTTTTCGTACATTTTGTGATTTACAATAGTTATAAAAACTATTTAAAACCATACTTAAAAGTTCGTTGAGAGTTAATATAACATTAAGATCCCTTCACGTTGCAAAAATAACCTTTTTACAAAAAAATTGTGATTTTAGTTAGATAAAAAACACAATAATGATTACTGGTACTCTGGTAGATACTATTTAATACTGTACTCAAAAGTTATTGGACAGTCAATAACGTCAACCCATATAAAAACAAGGCTGGTGTATTTTATTGTTGCCATTTCCGCATCGTCAATTTCGATGCATTCTGAAAGACCTTTTGAAAGCCATGGAGTACGTCACTGGACACGGTTTTGGATTCGTCACATTCTTTCTCCCACCTTCACCTTATCGCGTCCTTAATATATTACTGCTTTCTGTTTGGATTGTAGTGCGTGGCATTGAGATGTAATTGCTAAAAAAAAATTGTTAAACTTCCTGTCACTTGCCTTTTTCATCTTATATTCATTTTAAATCATATTTTTCTATTTTTCCTGTTTATAAATTTCTGGAGTTGTGGTATGTGGTTTTACTTCATCAAACTATTTCTCAAAACCCGAGAATATAGTATGGATCAGACTGCAACTTGGCCGGAGAGTTTGCCAAGCAACAGGATAAAAGCTTTTCACGAGCTGATCCAAAGCCAGGAGTTGACCAATAATCTGCGGGAGATGCTTCAGTGGCCGAGAAAGATCGAGTGTGATCCCACATATGAAGATGGCCTTGTGATGCAAATCATAGCGATGTTTAAGAATACACTCTTAATTTTGGGCTCTTGCACTTCAAACCAGCATCTTGAGATTCCGACAAGTGATATGTGTTTATCATATAGTTCGGATGGGCAGAAATTCGAAAATTCAGGCAAAAATGAAGGAAATATCATCCCGGCAAAACGTAAAAAGGGATGCCACAAAAGAAGGTATGTCTAATTATATCATACTGTAATAGTTTTAACTAATTACCCTAAATCTATAATACGTAAAGTTACTAGATATTACTTTTAAGATTATTTTTCATTTGTTATCCCTATATATTTAGAAATTTCTTTGGAAATTGATACCATAACTTTAAGATCATTAATTATGCATCCAATTTCTATTTGGAATTAGCATACTTATATATGTACGCCTGTATGTGTAGTCAAGCTACTAATTTCCAGTTTATTTGGACACATGTAGAAAAAATTCATGGACGTCATCACAAGTGACCTCTGCTTTGGTTGATGATGGGCATGCATGGAGAAAATATGGTCAAAAGCATATTAACAATACAAACCATCAAAGGTATATTTTTCTGGAAACATGAGAGTATGTCTCTGTTGACATATTCATTTGGAGAAAATGTGTATAATAAAATATTTTCTTTTTGCTAATTTTGGTTGTATATATTTGTTGATATGCTAGGAGTTATTATAGGTGTACCTATAAGTTTGACCAAGGATGCCTCGCAGCAAAGCAAGTCCAAAAGATCCAAGACAAGCCACCAAAATATAAAACAACCTACATGAGAAACCATACTTGTCAGAATCTACAAAGAGCTCCTGAAATCATTTTGGATTCTTTAAATTCTGGAGATACATCAATCCTTTTTAACTTTGAAACAAAGGGACTCATAGCGAGGACACAAGTTGGCACCTTTTTCCCCTCTATAAAGCATGAACTAAATGAGAGTTACCCTTCTCATGGGAATTTGAGAAATGATGAATATTCGTTTGCCAGTGACCTACATTGTGCTCTAAACGCATGTGTTTCAAATAATCCACTTGAACCAAATATCTAAGACTGAAACGTTATAAGGGTTCGATCACAGGGACATAATATCATCAAGGGGACATTAAGCGTTCGATGATCATGGGGTTATGATACCCTCATGGACGCGCGTATCAATCTATTACTAGTAACCATGGTTATTAGATGACCATATGCTTGAAATGAATGTTTTCAATGATTTTCCTTCTTAATTATTTTTGTTGCATCATTGTTAAAATTTTCAAATATGATAAACATATGTGATGGAAAATGAAAACTTGGTTTACAAAGTCATTAATTAAACTAGAGAAATTTCATCAAATAACCATAAAATGGGGGGGGGGGGGGGGGGGGGGGGGGGTGTGTTAAGAAAATAACCATAATAATCCTTGGTGTCATCCAGAAACGACAAATTTTTTTCGTTGGTATTAAAGATCTGTAGAGGCGTCTCTGAGGATCTTATATTTGCTCTGCGGATTGATTTATTTCACTGAGGAACCGGTAGTTGGCTGATCCGCAGAGCCCTCTCTGCGGATCTGTTAACTCTCTGCGGATTTGCTTAATGTTCTGCGGAAATGGTAGATTTAAGCCATAATTGAGCTGATTTCGAATATATTTCATTTTTTGTTAAGTTAGTATCGTTTTATATCCTTTTTAATCACTAGAAACGAGTATTTTTCAATTTTCTGAAGGCTTTAATCGGTAGAAGTCGTTTTTTCTTTGTCTTTGTGGAGAGTGTTTTGTAAAAATGAGTTTTATTATTCTCTGTACGGGAGGGTGTTGGCAGCCAGTTAATGGAAATGAGGTTTACGTTAGAAATAATGTGAAAAACTATGGTTGAAATCTTCCTCCTAACTTTGACCATCAGATGTTATTACAAATGGTTAGAAATAAGGCCGGTGTGTTCAATAGTCATATATCTTTGTCTTTTAAACACCCGGAGTGCGGGTATGTAATGGAGCTTGCAAATGAATCAGATGTAGATCACCTGAAACATGTAATGTCTGAAACAAAGCAGAAAATGCATTTGTATTTATCGGTGGGAGATGAAGAATTTGAAGAACAACCACCGGTGGTGAAAAGTCAGTTTATTGGAGCAAAAAGTATTAGAGGTATTGGAGATAGTAAATCTGGTGGAAACTGGTCCAGGGGACGAGTAAATGATGTTGGAGTGGGTTATGAAAAGAAAGCTTCAGTTGGTGATAAGTTTGTATCAGATAACGATAACGTTTTATCAGATGATGATAACGAACCAAATTTGCACATGACAGAATTAGAACATCAAATTTTATTTGAGTTTGGAGAAGTACCTGATTTTGATGATCAATTATGTGATGAAAAATCAAATGAACATTGGTCGGAAGATGAGTACACGCAACGGAAAATTGTTTTTAATCCCTGGTATTGTATTCCTCCTATTCCTGGTCCAGAACCTATTCTTGAACCTGGACCATTTCACAGTTTAGGTCCGAATGATAAAATATTTGTGAATCAAACCTATAACACCATCTGTTAAATTCAAAGCAGTTAAAGAAAAGTTTCAGATAAAGGTTCAAAAATCATGCAAATCTCGATACGAGGTAGTTTGTTTGCAAGAAAACTTTCATTGGCGTTTATATGTAGTTGTCGTTAAAGGAACAAAAATGTTTGAAATTAAGACTTATAATGAGGAGCACACATGTTCTTCATTACTTATACAACCAAATAATAGGAAAGCAACTAGTGAAGTTGTGGGAACCATAATACATGACATTATGGGTCAAGGTAGTTTGAGAGTTTGGAGGCCTAAAGATACTATTAGAGATATGAGTGCGTTGATGAAAATTAATTTGAATTATTCACAAGCGTGGCATGCTATAGATTTGCTATGGGATTGATGATGGGGACCCCCGAAGTAAGTTTCTCCAAACTTCCAGTTTATTTTCACAACTTGAAGAAACATAATCCTGGGACTGTGGCATACATACAAACTGATTTGGAGGATCACTTCGAGTATTGTTTTTTCGCTATTGGTTGCGCGGTAAATAGATAAATTAAATTTTAAAGTTTGTAAATATATAGTGTTTATATACAAAACAAATTGTTAATATCTTCATGCTTGTTACATAATTGTTGCGTGCTTTCAGACGGTTTTGTAGAAAAGTTATTATTATGGATGGTGCCCATCTGAAGGGAAAATACAAAGGCACCATATTGCATGCAGTTGTCATGGATGGCAACAATCAGATATTGCCTATTAGGTATGGAATTTGCGCAAAAGAGACAACGGATTCTTGGACATGGTTCCTTGAAAAACTACATAAACGCATTGGTGATTTGGAAGGTCTGGCGTTGGTAACGGATAGGGTTGCATCAATTGTTGTAAGTATTCAAAATGTTTTCCCAAATGCTCAACAAGGCTTGTGTGGTTTTCATCTAATAGGAAACATAGTGCACACCTTTGGAAAAAATAAAAAAAAACAACAATTTTGTTTTGGAAGCTTGTAAGAGCTTACTAGACCAATGAGTTTGAAAAGTATTGGGGGAGACTTTGTACTCCTAGACCAGATGTAGCGGCGTACCTTAGTCAAATTCCACGTGATAATGGATTAGATCGCGTTGCCCTACCATGAGGTACGACTATTTGACCTCAAACAGTGTAGAGTCCATGAATGTTGTATCAAAAAATGATAGGAAGTTGCCTATATTACCATTCTTGAGTTCTTTCGTGCGCTTATGCAGAAATGGTATCAACATCGATTGACTGCAGGTATGACAAAAATTTTGTCAAATTGAACGATAAATGTCATATATAATGATATATCATTGTTTTAACAGAAAAAAGTACAACAATACTTACGAAGTGGGATGAAGCTATGGTTAAAAAAAATAAAGACGAGATAACAGGATGGTCGATATCTGGTGTTGACAATGCAACTTATCAAGTCCATGACTTCAAAAGTGGTGGCATAGTTGACTTGAGGCAAAAGACTTGTTCTTGCAATTATTGGCAACGAACTGGTTTGCCTTGTGGTCATGTGATAATGGTTTTAACGCATTTGAAAAATGAAAATTGTGGGCATATGGCTATAGATGCTTATAAAATTGAAACGTATCGAAGAACGTACGAGGAGGCCGTGTACCCCCTACCAGACCATGGTGATTGGGAGGTTCCTAATGACATTATGGTTGTTAACCCTCCAGTAATGGAAATACGTCAAGCGGGTAGACCGAAAAACACCAACCGTATCCCCTCACAAGGTGAGAAACCGAAAATAAGATGTAGATGCCATAGTACAACACATAATGCAAGGACGTGTAAGGAAATTGTCCCAAAGAAGCAAAATAAAAGTAGAAAACGTAGTGTGGCTTCAGCAAGCGGGACAAAAGCGAGAGAAGACGAAGGGACGCAAGCGATAGAAAACCAATGGAAGCAGGAGGCAGAAATCCAAGGAACGCATGAGACAGAAAACCTAGGGACGTAAGCAACAGAAAACCAAGGGACGCAAGACGGAACATACTTTCCGTGGTTCGATTTGAATGAATGATGTTTATTTTAAAATGTGTTTATTATGAAGTTTGTATAAGACAAAAAAAAACTAGTATTTCTACAAACTTTTGCATTACTATTTCATCAACTCCGCAGCAAAGTACTGTTAATTCCGCAGTACTGTTTCCTCTACTCTGTATCAAATAGTGTTCGATCCGCAGTACTAATATTTTATTATATAAAAATTACGATTTCATCAGTAAGGATTTTACTATAAATTCACTTTAGTATGCATATGATTTCATCTACTTATCACCCTTTCTTTCATTCTTTTTTCTGGACACCATCAAATTTTCACTCACAATGGGTTCCAAACCATGGAGCGCTGAGGAGATCGTACGTCTAACACGTGCATATATTATTGTGTACGAGAGCATCGGTGTGAATGATCCAAGTTTAACTTATACCTACAACGTTGATCCTCAAACTGTTGCAGGAAACTATCGTAACATCGTTGCTGTCATAGCTAAATGGTATGAAGTAAAAACAGAAATTTTGTTATTCAACGATCTTTATAACAATATTGATGATGCACGGGTCAATGAAGACGAGGAAGTGATCTTGGAAGCGGCGAAAGAGGAATGAAAATCCATTAGCGATGGGTCGGAATTCGAGTATGAAGCCCATTGGAAACTTATAAAAGATCTCCCGTACTTTTAATGTTTTTGTAGAACGTTATTTTGATGTGGTTGGTTTTTATTAGGACATTTAGATGTATTTGGTTATTTTAAGGTTATTTATATGTACTTCTTTGTATAAGGTTATTTTTATGTAATTGGTTTTTATTACGTTGTTTTCATCGTCTGCGTAATACTTGGAAACAGATACAAATACTTTATTCCAGAAACTACAAACACTACAAATACATGGAAACAGATAAAACAACGCTTACAAATAATAAGATAAAGAAGTAGAAAATATTACGCATAAAATATTACAGTCTACATGAAATACTGGTTTTTTTTCACCACATTCCAAACGTCATCATATTCGAACTCACTTCCATCATGCTCCATCATGTAATGCTCTTTAACAACTTGTAAAAGTTCTTCATCGTCTGCGTAAAAACGTGGAATATTTTTAATATATTTATACCATCGATTGAACCATGTGACTTTTTCCTTTAATTCCATCCACTTAGTAACAACATCTTCTTTAAGTCGGTGTTATCCTTCCTCATGGTTGAAGAAACATGTTATACTGGTCCATTCATCACCTACAAGGCACTATGACAGAGCTATTGGTATTACACCCTCGTTAACGTTCATCCAACATTGTGTTAGGACCATCACCTCTGTTGTCATCCATGGATGTGGAGCATCGGCCGATGTTGCTACATTTGAAGAAGTTGGTACATTAGTGGCCATTTCAGAATAAAGGTGTGAATTTATTGAAGAATGAATGATTACTTAAATAAGAAAAATGACTCTGCAGAATGACAAACAGCTATGTGGAATGATAAACAGCTCTGCGGAATGACAAATAGCTATGCGGACTGACAACAAGCTCTGCGGACTGACAAACAGCTCTGCGGACTGACAAACAACTCTGCGGATTGACGAACAGCTATGCAGAGTCTACAAACTCTGCGGACTTACAAACAGCTCTGCGGATTCGTAAATATTCTGTGGAATAATGAATAC